ATGGTCCTTGGAACGGAAATTTCGTCCGTTTTGGCGTATCTTGAAGCGTAAGGTCACAAACGGCCCGATGACGACGTGAGGCTACGGGCCGACCGGCCGCTGAGCGCGCGCGCGCAGGGCAGGGTTGCGCATCGCTGCTTTACACCGGCGCGGCGTAGAGGAACGAACGGTGGGGTGGGAGGGGGATATCTGGTGGAAAAGCATCCACATTTTCTATCCATAAAGGATATGCATTATACTTTTTCAATATATAGATGAGGAAATATGAGCCGTACAAGGAAGTGATGAAAAGAGTGACAAAAACATATGACATGTATAGTTTGTATGATTAGGAGCGTAAGTGAGGGTAAAATTTGCCGTAACTACAGAACAGCCCTGAAAATCTCCGGAAAATGAAAGCTGCTATTATCAACATACCTGTTGATCATCAAAACAGAAAATTCTCACCCACTGGAGGTACCGGAAACTACTGGTATTTGACTGATTAAAAAGATATGTGCGATGTTGTCAAATAGTAAGCCCTTTACGCGATCAAATGCGATCAGTGTAATGGAAAAGTTGAAGAAAAATTGGATGAAAGAAAATTGCCCTAAATTCGGGAAGTGCTCCAAGAGTTTTTCTACCATGTGAAGTGTTTGCACATGAATGTCAATGGCAGTGCGTGGAAAACCTCTGATCTGGTAATTTCAATATGGAATGAAAAATGTAGAATCCCTGTGATACATAGTGTCCATGTTTATAAAAATGTTTACAATTTTATGAGGAGTGGAGGCGCGTATCGAGAAATGCTAGCCGGCGATCGCTGGTTCAAGAGAATATGGAGACTGATTTTACGGCAAAAAACGACGTGTTATTCGGCACTGCTTTATGCAATGCTCTAGATATCTAGGACTTGGGGAGGGGGGGGGCCCTCCCCAATTCCTCTCTAGGGTAGGACTTATTTTTTTAAAACGCTAACATAAAATGTTGCTCTTAAATGGTTTAATGTGATAAAAAAACACAGTAGCCAATAGGATTTTTAAAGAAACCTTTTTTATCCCGGCGCGCACAGAGTCTAAAGATTGTTATTTTTCCGATTCCTTTGGCATTTTCACCTTCTCTTTTTGATATTTTAGTTAGTGGCAGGGATTTGACGCTATATGTTCAAAAATTGGTCCAAACTTAGCACATACCTTATAAATTAAGGAAAATTTTTTGTTTTTCTCCTAGGTCACTCTCACTTGGCTTGGTAACGCCCAATTATTCCGCTCGGCAGCTCTAAAAGTCGAAATTTCACAGTTTTTGAACGTATAATAAAATTTTTGGGCAGCCTTTAATGGTAGTAAAAATTCGAAAATTTGTGGAAAGCAACTCCAAACCGTCAGTAAGGAAGGGCAATTTTCAGAAAACTCCTAGGTCTTTTATTTTCTGGCAAGCGAAGCCCACAATGGCGGGAAACCCGTCAAAAATAGCTCAATTTTGACCGTATTTCCCATTTCAAAAATTAATTGGACACCCTGTAAATGACAATTAAGGTCAAAAAATTTGTGGAAAATAAGTTCAACCGTCTGTATGGAATAAAAATTTTTCCATGGTTCCTACATCTTGCATTCCCAGTCCTGCGATACCCGAAATGGCAGAGAATATATGAAAATTAACTCAAATTAGACGTTTTGGGAAATTTTTGGGAACACCTTGTAGTGACAGTGGAGGTCTGTGGTTGCTATGAATTAATTTTGTCACGAGATACAAAAGAGGGAAATCAATTTAATAGTGAATTTAGTGTCTTAAGCAATCTTAAGTGCGCCCGGAAAAAGATGGGTTTCTCTGCAACCAGTGAGCCGATCTTAAAAAAATTTAGCTTGTTAGATTGCTGAAATGTATTTGCAGAAAGTCATTTCCTCAATTTTCTTCTTTTTCATTACTTCAGAAGTTATTGAAGAAAAACGATCCTCTTTTTTTATCGTACGTACAATGATTTCGAAAGAAGGGTGTATCTCTGGCTTCCTTTGTCCAATGATTACAGAGGGCAAATTATGCATTTATTTGAAACTCTCCATAGATTTCAAAGCTAAAGGATCTAGATTAAAAGAATTGCCTTTGCCAACTGCTGCATTTAATTTTTCGGGACACCATTTCAAATCTCCAAATGCGTTTATATGATGCTGAACCTAGTACATATGCCCTTCCTCTGGCATGGTCCTTAATTCTTCAAGGGAGGGTGTTAAACTTTTGAGGACGCTCTTTTACATATCAAGAACTAACATACATGGAATTTGACCATGATTTGACCTTAGGATTGTGGGGTCTTGGTGGTCAGATATTGGCCCTTGCTGCCATTTCATACTTAAAAATCAAATAACTCGAAAATAAAAACAGGCCCATCTTCAGATTTTGCGGTTTTCACGTTTCCGATCTTGAGACCTTCCCTGACACTCATCAAAAAAATTCGCAGGTGGTCTTCAAAAACTCGAGGTCTTCACAAAAATTAAAACTTTTTAGAACACTCACGGAAAGAGACTTGGAGCTTTCAATTACGATAAAAGAGACATTAAGCCTTCAATTATGATGAAAGAGACATGGAACTTTCAATGAGTTAGTCAAGTCATTTTTTTTGTATTGTGTCATTCGAAAGTAGTAAGTGACCGAAGCTTACAGTTTTTTTCCTAAATTTTTTTGATGACTGCAAACGGGAGAAAAGTTTATTTCAAAGTGCCAAAAATTGGGGAAGCCTAAAACGGCGTTTGAACTGCGCGCTCGTAGGTTCCGCATTGTACACGTCACGATCAATATGGCGGCGGAATGCGTAGTGGAAGAATACACGGCGGCGTTGCGTTGGTGGCGGTATGTTTTTGTTGGTCAATTGGAGGTTATGTAGGTTACTTTGTTTGAGATTCATATCCATTGTTCCGAATTCTCTAAGCTTTTCAATCAGAATGCAATACAGATGTATGTAGGATATGTAACATTCACATAGAACTTACTTAACCTCAAACGAGAAATCGTGATGTCAACATTGGCAGCGTGGCGGTAGTAAGCAGGTCGGCTTCGGCGCCGCCATCTTCCCGTCTATGACGCGAATAGTTCGAAGATTCACGGCGGTCGGTTCAAACACGTTTTCGAGGACCCCTAAAACGGAAACGTTATATCTCCGCGGAGACAATTTTTCGTGAAATTGTAACATGCGCATCGTTAGGGTGGTCCAAGTTAACATGGGGAAGTTTTTTTTTGGCCCAATGAACCGCGACTCAACCTAAATTTGTTCCTTACCATCCAAATATGATACCTGCCAAATATTTTCGTTCTCAGACAATATTAACACGTGCCGACTTGAGGCTGAAAATCTCCCAAAAAATTACATTGATTTAAATGGGGCGAAAATGGGCCGATCCGCGGTATTTCGTTTTTCGGCTGTAAAATGCGCCAAAATGCAAATAACTTGCTCTTAACCTACGAAGATACCTAGAGGCCTATTGTGATTGAGAAAATCACACATTCGACCCATTGAGAGGGGGGGGAAGGGGTCACAGCGGAGCCAATTCCTAGGCCCCGCGGCCCTGCGCGAGGCTCCATGCGCCAAACTGATAAGAGAGGAACGCGCTCGCATTTTCGGGCTCCCTGCTCCCTGATACGCATTGCCGTACTGCAAATTAAATGATGTCATTTCTAGAGTTTGAAAAGCAAATCAACTGACCTGCTGATAAGCACAGAGGCAAAGTATTTTACAAAATGTTGCCGAGTACAGAAAGCTGTTCAGGGATCTCAACAAAAAAAGGATGACTCAAGAATTCTGAGTGGAACAGAAGGTAATATTCTTTTTACTACCTGTTTTTTATTTTAAGAACTTTAATTACGAAAGTCTTTTCCACAACTAATGTCTACATAATGTTTAATGTGTATATAATTTATTGTGTAACATTTGGCAATACAAAACAAATTTTTGTTCACGAGATGGAGTACTTGCTCTTGCTCCTTATCTAGGATATAGTCTCATTATTATAGTTATGTCATCATCATTATTTTCAGTGTTTTTACTCGCTTTAAATTCACTTTAAAAGCATACTCATTCAGTTTTCAATTGATATTTTTTTTTAAATACGCACTGATACTTATCAGCGGGCATCAGAAATTTTCAAGCTAGAACATGTTTTAGCTACTTTACCGTTGTTGCAGTTTTTGATATTTTCGAATATTTTTTAGGTTCTCTCCAAAAAAAATTTTCTGAATGCTATATGTCAAGTGCTGAAACTTGAAATCCGTATTTTATAGGTGCGGTCGAACACAAGTAAGGTGCAACGCTGCTTTTATATGCAAAACGGTGCAACGCTGCAACCAACGTTACAAATTTTAATAATATTCGTCTTCTTTTGCTATTTCTTGCAATTTTCCTAAAAAAAGTCTTACGGTGGCAGGTTTTAACATTATCAGAGAGTAAAATAAAACGTGGCCGGCGTCGTTTTTGGATCAAATGAAACTAATTTAGGGAGCGACGCGGTCCATTTCCCGAAGTTGCCCGGAGCGTATCACACTAGCACATAATGCTTTACGCGGCGCCTCAGCAACTATGAATCGGCTCCACTGTGACCCCCTCCCCCCCTCCCAATGGGTCGAATGTGTGATTTTCTCATTCACAATAGGCCTCTAGGTATCATCGTAAGTTGAGAGCAAGTTATTTGCATTTTGGCGCATTTTACAGCCGAAAAACGAAATACCGCGGATCGGCCCATTTTCGCCCCATTTAAATCAATGTAATTTTTTGGGAGATTTTCAGCCTCAAGTCGGCACGTGTTAATATTATCGGAGAACGAAAATATTAGGCAGGTATCATATTTGGATGGTAAGGAACAAATTTAGGTTGAGTCGCGGTTCATTTTCCGAAGTTGCCCAGTTTGAACCACCCTAGCGCATCGTCCTTCTCAGACCAAAAACTGTAAGATTCGACTATTTGCAAGCAAATCCTTCCCGAGCTCAACTGACTCATTATGATAAAAGAAAAGTACAGTAATGGAATCTTTACTTACAGGTAAGATAATGGTGGGGCGCAGTTGGTGAGGATAGGCATATGTAAGACCAGGGTAATATGCTGCTGCTGAAGACTGAGGATGTGCAGCTATTTGAGCATATCCAGGAATGCTTGCATAATTTACGTAGGGGTGCATACCTTGAGCTGCATACAACTGTGCCATGGCTGCTGCAGCCAAAGCTGATTGAGGTGAATATAGCTAAAATAAAGCAAGACATTCGTTAATAGGAGTAGTTTTTTGTATGATCGCTGATGGTAAGTAGAACTTGCAATTAAAGACAATAGAAGAGAGCTCGGTTCACTACGTTTAAGAGGGGAACAAAATTCAGGGACAAGAAAAGATACATTAATATTTCTTTATTTCATTAAAAAAAGGACTGATCCGAAAAACTGAATATATTCACAGAAATTCTCATAGTATTTTTGTTTTCTCCTGGCTTTGAATTTCCTTTAAAGAATAATATGCATCCAAGATTCATTCTTTCATCTAGTTACTCAAGTGTATTTGATCCACATTATAATTATTTTCACAGTAATGAAATACATACTAATGGTACAACCAATAACTGGAAAATACCTCAAGAATCGTGCATTTCCATAAGAAAGCATGGGACTATCAGGAATTCACCTCTGCCTGAGATATTCGATTTATGCTCAATTTAGACCCTTAAACATTAAAACCCCTGGAGAAGACGGCGAGCGTGCATTGGCGAAGATCTGTCAAAAACCTCTTTTTGTACATAATATTTTTAATAAAAAGCTTTTTCCCGCCATAACCTCATAAGGTTCCGTCCTACAGGTAGAGCAAAGAATCTTCCGATTTTTCCTCGATAGCATCTGTCAATGTTGGCACTGGCCAGTGCCAACCGAATGATCCGAGTGTTCAGTAGGTTAGAGGGTGGGATTTGACCTTCCCTCCTTCATACACAGAGGCGATAATTGCAAACCTACACTGGTAAAAAAGCGCCAGAGATGTGGTCTTAATGTTTAAGAAATGGTTCAACTGAGAATGTTTCTAAAATAAGATCCTGTTATACACCATGGGCCAGCAAAGGGTAACCCTCCTCCCCACGCGGGAATTTTGATCATGGCGATTTTCTTGAAGCTCTCACCTAGTAGAATAAGATTTTATTTGTTTACGCAAATTCAATCGAGGTGGGGAGGGGGAGTTAGCCCCCCCCCCCTCAAAATTGCTCAGAATTCCGACTTTTCTGCAAATATTCCCATTTTTCTCGAAAAGGCTTGATTTTTGGGGAAAACTCCGAATAACCAATTTAAAAGCTAAAATTTAGCTCTGGAACAGTTGTGTTTGACTTTGCTCCCGAAAGGACACGGCGAAGGCCTCAATTTAATTGAGCAGCGCCTGGAGAAAGTTTGGGAGAGTTCGAAGAATTTCATTTTCCAATTGATTTCATTCGAGAAAAGCTATTGTCAGTCATGATACCTTGCTAAAGTACGAGAAAATTCTATGAACTTCTGGAGAGGATTAATAAGGGTCATCCTTTTACTGACTGTCACCTGAAAGATGAAAATTAGAGATAGTTCCAGAAAGTGCCAGAAAAATTCTAGAAAGTTTTGGGAGAACGAAAGGGGAGCCCTTGGTACCGACTGCAGTGCTTGTTGAAACTCAATAGAGGATGGAAAGGAACCACGGGCCGCGGCTGCGTAGTGTTCTAGAAGCCGATGAGCGCGGCGCGATACGTGGTGCGGGTGGTGGGGCGGGGATTTTGCCTAGCAGCCGGACGGGGACAGGCGTCGCGGCGGCGCCGGGAGGCATATTCCCAAACCCGCGTGAAATAAGAAAAATCTAGCCTGTCTTCAAAATCCTTAGCCGCTGCCTTCTGAGCCCTCCTGCGGTCGGCATGAGGCTCCTCAGCAAGTGCCCTTGGGCACTGCGGCCATCCTTTCTCCTTTCTCCCGTCTGATTGTCTCTTCAACCCTCCGAAATGAATGGGGGTGACCTCGCAGTCCACTCTTTTTGTTTTCCAGAAAACAACATCTTACTCCTCAAAACAAGCCCTTCGCAGAGTTGTTACATGTTGAAAGCATTTTTAAATGCACCATTAACCTGTTCAAGAAAAACCGTGATTATTCGATTCACTTGGGATGATTTTTTCAGGTCAGAGTCTATGTCTCTTCCGAAATGGATTTCAAATACCGAACATCGATGATATTGATGCAGGCGGCGTGTTGCCTCCTAATTTGTCGGTGTCCAAGGGATGTTTGTACCAGATTTGATTCATTGCAATGTTTCCAAATACCGCGAAAAAATTGATCAACCTTGCTTAAAAACATCATTTTCACTTGAAATTTCAGTATTTATAGGTTTCTGTCTTCATTCATTGAATATTAATGTCCAGTCTCTCAAATAACGAAGTTGAATGATGAACTTTTTTTAGGGAACAATTTTATTTTTCATGTCAATTTCTATTCCTCATTAATGGGGTTTTAATATCTCTCTTATTGGTTCGGGTGATACACCGAGTGCATATTCATCCTCGCAAATGCAGCGACTTTTTTTATATCTCATCTTCACCACCTGTTTATTGTTTATCCTTTCAAGCAAGGTGATAGGTGCTGCGCAGAACTATAAGTAAAAGAAAGGAAACATTTGACAGAAAGAAAAACAAAATTACTTGAATTTTCTGTCAAGAATACTGCACTTGAATTAAGAATAAGATCACTTGAATAAAGCCGAATCCTGCTTGATATGAGCGGTTTTCTTCTCAAAGTACGCATTTTGCAGCATAAGTCAAGAGGTATCTCCTCTTAGCGGCAAATTCAAGAATATTTCTTCTTACATAATCATTTTTTTTCCAGTGAAGAAGCTCTGCAAATTCCACTAATTAAAGAGGCTTGTGAGATGCATATGCATTGTACTGCTCTAAAAATGTTCCGAGAATTTTCCATCAGAAATGTTTTTTACAAAGAACAAAACAGCAGACATAGTCAATAGACAAGTTTATTCATCGTGCGATCAACGAAGGTGACGGCATGACTCTGCATTGCGAAATTTTCTGCATTAAAAATATTGTCACTGCTTATAATTGAGGCATTTTTCGGTAAAAGGGCGTATGAGACGTCCAATGCTGCTAAGATTGTGTAACGTAGTTCTCTATCCGACTGTTTTGCTATTGATTTTTCATTGAATCTGCTCTGAGTTTTTCCTGGCGATTGTAAGAACGCACATTCACTGTGAATGTATTTCATTTGCCGCGAACGCTATGAAACTTACGTAATCATTGCAGCATAGCAAGCTCCATTCGCCTTTTTGCCGAAAAAGTCCTCAAATTCTGCTTTTAAAAATATTTTCGCTGCATAGAGAAGCCAAAAGTGGAACCTTGGTTTGCTCAAAAGATGAGGAACCAGCCTGAGCCGAGCCGAGCCGCGGCTGGTGCGGAGGAGTCTCACAAGGGGCTGCAGTTGGGGTCTAAACTGGATTTCACATTCAACGCGGGGTTTGGGAATATGCCGCCGGGAAGGGGAGGCAGGCTGCCACTGGGAGCGGTGAGCGGTCGGTGAGTCTGCACGGTCCGTCGCGCGGGGGAGGAATTCCTGGCACGAATTTTCAGCGATTTTTAGGCGCGCTTAGAGCTGTTATATAATGAATAATGATAAATAAATAAAAAATAAAATTAATTAATTTTTTTAGGTCATCATGGCCAACCATACAGAAACGAGGCTGCAATGAGAAACTTTAGTTAGCAACCAGTATAAACTTATGTCAATGTTTCTAGGATTGTTCAATTTCTTAATTATTTAGCAAACAGAGAACTATATGTTCTTTTCTTAAATTTAAGATGGGAATACAAAATTTGGAAAGCAGTTGAGTCTGCATGCAGGGACACACATAGGCTCTTCCTGCTGATTTTCGAGTGGTTTCTGCGATAGAGCCGAAAATTTCATGTAGACGGACAGAGCACACAAAAAGGTACCACTGAACTGACAACTGGTTTCCGCCAGTTGATGTCTTAAATTTACTGACACGGTACGTTTTAAACACTTTTAATGCGGTCAACATACCATCCGCGATTTTTTTGCAGAACTGTCAACTAGAAGGCCTACTGAGTGAGGAACAACAAACCGCGAAATCTGTAGTTCGGCCGTTGTGGAGAAAATGCGATTTTTCGCTTTTTTGGCGGGAATTTCGGGTCAAGGCGCTGAAAACGACAAGTTAGGCTGTTTTTGTGGCTCGTAAATGCATATTCACAACATGCATTGAACAACAAACCAAAAGTTTACCACGGTTCGATTCCGGAACACCCCCCCCAAATTGCCTTTTCAAAATGGCGGCCATAATAAAGCCTCTGGAAGTTCGATTTTTTTTAAAATACAAATACAGTGTCATGTGAGATGTTAATTCCTATGTAATTTTGGTCGTAGATTTCAGATATGAAGTAGAACAAGTCCCCCGATCAAAAGGAGGTACCCCAAATCCAAGATGGCAGCCAATTTTGTAAGACCAGGGGTTGGATTTTTAAAAAGTTCGCGTGATAGGGCAAATGAGGAATCATATCTTATGTGATTTTGGTCGTAGATTTCATTTATGAAGTCATAAAAGCCCTCAAGTCAAAGGGATTGCTCCAAATGCGAAGATGGCGGCCAGATTTGGAAGGCAGAAAGGTGAATTTTTGAAATGTTTACATGACATCCCTAGTAAAATGGAATCAACCTGACGTCCAGCTATGTTTCATAAACTACCCTGAGTCAGACTGATATCAGCCTGAATTAGTGCCGAATGCAGCCTGAAGCCAGACTTTCTCGATTTTTGATTTGTTGGCATTTCAGCTATAAAATAATATTGTTGTATAAGACTTAATATTTTTCATTTTCTTCTTCTTTCGTCTTCCAGGTGAACAAATCATAATTTTTGGTTAAAAATAAGCGAAGTCTAATGAAATCGAGGAAAGTCTCAAATATTTCTATACCTCTACATTCTAAATTACTTCCAAACTGTTTTTCGAAACTAGATGCAAGAAATCGATGAATGACCCAAAACCCTGCATCTTGGGTGAAAACAGCTCCTCAAAACTCCAAAAATGCTTTTCTACTGTAGTACGGCAAAGAATTCTCCTAAGATATTACAAAAGGTGAATCTAGTTACGGAGAGGGAAAAAATTGAGTAGATGCTGAAATAATAAATACCTGCTGCTGTTGCTGTTGCTGTTGGAGTAGCGCCTGGTTGAGTACGGCTTGATCATAACCGGGAGGAACTTGGGGAACTTGTGGAGTGGTATACAACTGGCCATTAGCTATCACGCCATACGGAGTTGACACCGGTACAGACGACACTAGACATGGGAAATAGTGTTGTGAGTTGAGAAATACAGGAATAACTTCAGCCTCACATAATCATATGTACTACGGTGACAAACGTTTCTATCACTTCTGAATATGCAATTGGAATGTATAATGAAGAGAGGCTCAGTTGCAAATTTACCAACAACAAGTGGAATCATATTCTTCTGATTGATAAAAAGTTTTGTTTCTTGGAAACTAAGCTGAAAATGGATAAGAATGCGAGGAAGAGAAAAAGACTTCTACAATGCAGAATTAAAGAAATTAAGGTGAAATCTCTCTACTTTTGAGGTTGATCAGAAAGCTGCTAAATCGTGGTGCACAAATCGACAAGATAGTGCTGTTGGGTGTAAATTAGGAGACATGACTTCCGATGCCACGGAAGAAATCGACAACTTCGGCTTAAAACTGGGATGCTGCTGGTTGGTCAGAGTGGCGCTAAAATGAAGATAACAAGACCTTGCACTGCAGGCTGGGCTGGGCCATACACAGGGTATCCGGAAATTGACATACTGAACTTTCAGGATCGGTTTTTTGACTCAGAATATGACTTTTCTCCCTATGCACATATGCCCGAAAACGCATCATAGGTGAGCTATGTGCTTCCAAAGTTGCCATTTTTTCATTTCAAATTGATGTAACGCCTCGTTACTTAGTCCAGGGTGTCTAGCAAATTTTTACTTTCAAGGTTTTCCCTGACCTATTGAATTTTCTTTCTCCCTGACTTTCCATGACCTTTTACCAAGATTTGCTTTCAGTCTGTACGATGTTTTCCACCCTTCAAAGCAATGGATCACAATTCAAGAATAAAAACCTTTTTGCGGTCTATGAGTGTCAACAGAGACTCTCGTAAAAAAGATTATTTTCTTTCTTCCACTATTACATCATAATTTGTACTTAATAGTAATGCTTCGGAAGATCTTTGCTTGTTACTTCAAAACACCTAATAAAAATTTGCAAACTCGAGAATTAAATAAATAGAAGAAGAAATAGTACACTTCCAGAGGTGTCGAGGACGCCTTAAACTTGTCGCGGACACTTCCAGAGGTGTCGCGGACGCTTTAAAGGCGTCGTGGACGCTTCGAAAGGCGTCCCGGACACGTCCAAAGGTGTCGCGGACGCTAAAGGAGGCGTCTCGGACGCTTTAAAGGCGTCGTGGACGCTTCAAAAGGCGCCGCGGACACTTCCACGGGCGTCTCGGACGCCTAAAACTTGTCGCGGACGCTTCCACAGGCGTCGCGGACGCTTTAAAAGCGTCGTGGACGCTTCCAGAGGTGTCGCGGACGCTAAAGGAGGTGTCGCGGACGCTTTAAAGGCGTCGTGGACACTTCAAAAGGCGTCAAGGACACTTCCAAAGGTGTCGCGGACGCTAAAGGAGGCGTCGCGGACGCTTTAAAGGCGTCGTGGGCGATTCCAAAGGCGTCGCGGACACTTCCAGAGGTGTCGCGGATGCTAAGGGAGGCGTCGCGGACGCAACAAAGCGATAGAGAGAGGGAGCTCCACTAGTCAGCACCATAGAATAAAGAGACTACGCTGCGTGGTCTCTTTATTCTATGTCAGCACTAACGGTTCAGATGGCACCTCAGACCAGGAGGAAGCGCTGCACGGCTAAATATCGAAGCGCCGTAAAGTTATGCAAAAAATCGCGATCTTCGACGCGAGTCCGCTTCTCACCCGATTTGGCGTTTTTCTTCCCTGACTTCTCCCTGACCAATTTCATCTCCCTGACTTTCCTGGTCGCTAGACACCCTGTAAGTCGTAAGGAGCTGAAAATTTGAGCAGGGGGACATTTTTTGTGTGTCAAAGGACGTGCGTCTTCGCACGGTTCGTTTTAAAAAAATTTAATTTTTCTGAGGACCACCCGCGATTTTTATTTATAAAAGTATCAAGGAAGGTCTCTAGATTAAGGTAATGAAAACCGCAAAATCGTAAGTGGGGCCGTTCTATTTATTTTCGACTTTTTCTATTTTTAAGGGTAAAATGGCGGCAAAAGCCAATGTGTGACCACTAAAACCCCCAGCCATCTAGTCAAATTAAGTTAAAATTTTATGTATGTTAGTCCTTGACATGTAAATGGGTGCCCTCAAAAATTTCAAACCCTCCCTGAAAGAACTGCACTCCCTTATGCGGTGTTGCCAAGTTACGTACCCGATAATGACGCGACTGACGGGGCAATGTAGATTTTGAGTTGCGATTATCACCAAAACTTATAAAAACCCTTACCATTATACAATGTGAGGATACTTTTAAATCTTATTCGATAAGAGCATGCGCGGTTGCCATATTTTCGTTTTTTGAAATTGCAAAATTTGGCCAGAAAATGTCAATTTGTTTTATTTGATTAAAACCAGTCAATGCTTATTTTTCAGCGGCATTATCATAATACGGAGCTCTAATTAACTTTAAAGGAAATTTAAGATTCATCAATGAAAAAAGAGCTTTTTATCTTGTAAGCAGGTCTGCCATAAACTGTTGAGCAGCAACAAAAATGCCCTCCGAGCGGGAGGTGAATCTTGGGCGATCTAGATTTAATATGGGTGTACTCTTCTTACTGGCGAGCGAAATGGGAGTCCTCTTTTCTTCTCTTCGCAAAATTTAAGAGAAAAATTGTTCAAATTTTACTTTATGATTCCAAGGCGAATTCTGAAAACCTCAAAAAATCGCTCGCACAGTTATTAAACAGGAATAAACAAGCAAACGCATCTCAGTCATTAACCTCGAAAGTTCATTTCCCACATTACGATATTTTGCTATTATTTCCAATGTTTAGAAATCTGGAACAATTAGATAAAACACACGTATATCATTTGTGAACCTTGAAGTTTTTTCTCTTTAATTGGACTTCGAGCAATCAGGGCTTTCATTCTTTGTGAACATCAGTAAAATATCTAGACGGTTCTCGTTTACTACTTACTTGTGAATTAAAAAATATTTTTTCTTAATTTTTTTGGGGGGGTCTTAAGAGGGGGGGGGGGTCCAAATTTTACTCTTTGAGTCAGGAACAATAACCGCGGGAATTTTTTTCGAGCCAAATCCGCTCGTCGATTTGTGTGTACTTATTTTAATAGATCAGCCTGCATTCCCTGATTGAAGTCAAGTGACTGACAAAGTGTCCCATTGTATGTAAAAATTCTTCAATTACAAGTCTATCAATTGACAATGTCGGTGAAAAATAAGCATTGACTGGTTTTAATCAAATAAAACAAATTGACATTTTCTGGCCAAATTTTGCAATTTCAAAAAACGAAAATATGGCAACCGCGCATGCTCTTATCGAATAAGATTTAAAAGTATCCTCACATTGTATAATGGTAAGGGTTTTTATAAGTTTTGGTGATAATCGCAACTCAAAATCTACATTGCCCCGTCAGTCGCGTCATTATCGGGTACGTAACCTGGCAACACCGCATAAGGGAGTGCAGTTCTTTCAGGGAGGGTTTGAAATTTTTGAGGGCACCCATTTACATGTCAAGGACTAACATACATAAAATTTTAACTTAATTTGACTAGATGGCTGGGGGTTTTAGTGGTCACACATTGGCTTTTGCCGCCATTTTACCCTTAAAAATAGAAAAAGTCGAAAATAAATAGAACGGCCCCACTTACGATAGAGAATCACCTCAACAGGTTTTAATTCAAGTAGCAACGATCGCCTGGAGAAGAGAGACGAAAAACGAAAACAAGTCGAACCTTCAAAATCCAAAAAATCGATTTATGAGTACGATAAATTCGGCAACCGTGCAGACAGCATTTATATTCTTGTAGAGAATATTTTTTAACGTTTTAAAGGGCATTTCCGCAACACTTACACTCAAACCGTTCGCGAGATATCGATTTTTAAAGTTTTGAAAAAATTGCAACTTTGCTCCCCTGCCCCCTCCCCCCTAAATATCCGAGGAGGCTGAAATTTTGCCCAAACATCGAGGACACTTAGTACAACATATGAACAAAGTTTGGGTCAAATCCAGGGGGCGGGCCAAAATCGGCGTTTTTGGAACAACCTCTTTTGTAGTGTTGCCCCTTTTGTGTTTTTTTCGACAGGAAATCCTATTTTATGCCATAGCTCAAGTTTGATGGTTTTGCCCAATTATTTAAACTTTTTTTTTGGGGGGGGGGGG